GTGACGGTGACAGCGCCTTTCCCAGGTAGTTTTGCTCTTGACACCGCTCAGCCCCGTGACTTATGTCAGGCCCATGGGAGTAGCCTGGTGGCACCAGTTAGTGAGAGAGAGGTGACGCTGGTGCTCTGGAGGGTAGATACTGTGGCTGTAGCAAGTTTCTACTTGGCATCCTTCACATTTACTTGTGACCTCTGTGACTCTGGAGACATTTTCAGAGCTGACTGGCAGTGAATCCAGCAGGGGAGCTCATTTCAGGGCTTGTTCTGCGTTCTGGGGACTCACGTTATAGACCACAGGGTGGGATGTGTTTGTGCTTGAAGCAGCACTGGAGGTTTCAGGTCTTCCTTGAGTTGTCAGGGTCACCCAGAGCTGCTGTCTGGGGGGAGAGAAAAGGCCGCACGGGGCTGCTGTGGCCTGTGTGAAGCCCTCCCTGCCCTGGGAGCGTAGGCACGGTTGGCCCCATCCCTGCTGGCAGTGTCCATCCATCTCTGTGCATCTCTGGTGGGCTCCCAGTCTGCCTGTGGGGCTGTGCTGGGGCTCTTGGATGCAAGTGCTGCTTGTCACACGTCCACCTGCAGAAACGTCTTCATTCTCTTGGTTGGTGTTTGGGCTGTGCAGGGTTTGGGGACTGTGTGGGGTCGGGCAGTTGAGCCATGCTCTGCACTTCGCACAGGAACACATCACATCCTCCTTTTACTCTGTCGGGCTCTCCCAGGCGCTGCCATCTGGCTTTGCTCCAGTCTGTGCCATCTATGCTGTCGTGCTGTTTCTGCAGGGCTCAAAGCATTACACAGGCTAAGGCTGCCAAGGCAGTAACAGCTGAGGATTCCCTTTGCTGTAAACTTGCCCCACGTGTTGCAGAGCTGTTTCTGGTCTGCAACTGTTTGATTAAATTCAGAGGAGGAATTCTGCTCCAGCGTCCAGGCAAGGCTGTAGGTGGCTGGTGAAAGGGATGTGATTTTTGGGACTCTGAGGCTTTGTTTCCTTCAGGTGTGACGTTCCCAGCTCTCGTTCATTTTTGAGGAAGCAGGGTCCCCGTTTCTGCTGTGTGTTTTGGTTGGGTGGAAGGAAGGAGGGGGATTGTTTTAATGGCAAAGCTGCTCGTGCGCATGGATGAGGAGCAGCAGATGGCTCAGCACGTGCTCCCGGGCTGGGCGGTTGCTGTTGTGTTGACTGCTGGTGGTGTTTCGCTGCAGGGTGGAGATGCTGCAGCTGTACGAACGATGCCTTCTGATGGATATCGAGTTTTCTGATACCCAGAACGTGGACCAGCTCCTGTGGAAGAACGCGTTTTACCAGGTGATCGAGAAATTCCGGCAGCTGCTCAAGGACCCTCAAGGGGAAAATGCCCAGGAAATCCGGAACAAACTGCTCCAGCTTCTAGATGAGGTGAGAAGAGAGGAACATCCCAAACTCCACTAAACCTTCGGGTGGGATTGGCTGGTGTTTAGAATGGGATGGTGTAGCTGGACAAGTAGGCTTGATCCAACTCATCTCCATGTGCCTTGGGCCATGCTTATCGGAGGAGAATGATCCGACAGATCGTGGTTTGGTGTAGCAGAGGTAGGTCCAGGTGGACATTTGTTATAGTTTAAACCAGGTTTGCTTTGGTGTGTTTTAGGTTAACCAGAAATTGATTTAAGCTAAGATGAAATGAATAGCCTGAAGTGGAAACAGAAGCATTCCTGGAGGTGTCTGTGCTTTCTTTATCAAATTTACTTAAAAGTCATTCCATGAAGCTGTGCAGCTCAGTTTACTCTGTAGAAGGCAAGCTGACCGATCCAAGAGGGTGTGTTTTATAGAGCCAGGTTGGTGGGAAGGAGCTGCTGGAGGTCAACCTCCAGCTCCTGATTTTGGTAGTCTTGATAACCTCTGAAGTTTGAGATTCCCCAACCTCCTTGTTGTGTTGTGAGGAGAAGCAGCCCACACCTCAGGGAGAGGGACCTTCCTTCTTGCACGTGGCAGGGATGGTGTGGTGATTTTGTGGTTGTCGTCAGATGCATTGTAATGTCCAGGTACATGTATTAAAAACAGTGTGACCAGCAGGGCCAGGGAGGTGATCATCCCCCTGTACTCGGCACTGGTGAGGCCGCACCTCGAGTGCTGTGTTCAGTTCTGGGCCCCTCACTAGAAGAAGGATGTGGAGATTGTGGAGCGTGTTCAGAGAAGAGCCACAAGGATGGGGAGGGCTCTGGAGAACAAGCCTGATGAGGAGCGGCTGAGGGAACTGGGCTTGTTTAGCCTGGAGAAGAGAAGGCTGAGGGGAGACCTCATCACCCCCTCCAATTGCCTCAAGGGAGGTTGTGGAGAGGTGGGTGCTGGGCTCTTCTCCCAGGTGATAGGGGATAGAACAAGGGGAAACAGCACCAAGCTGTGCCAAGGGAGGTTCAGGTTAGAGAGAAGGAGGAAGTTCTTTCCTGAGAGGGTCGTCAGAAGCTGGCACAGGCTGCCCAGGGAGGTGGTGGAGTCCCCATCCCTGGATGTGTTTAAAGAGCGGGTAGACGAGGTACTTAGGGATATGGTTTAGGGGGGAGACAGGAACGGTTGGACGTGATGATCTCAGAGGGCTTTTCCAACCGAGCGATTCTGTGATTCTGTGTGATTCTGTGTGTATTTTGCAGGGCACTTCTTTTTTTGATGGCTTACTCCAGAAGCTGCAGATGTCGTACCAGTTCAAGCTGGAGGATTACATGGATGGGATGGCCATCCGCAGTAAACCTCTGCGGAAAATGGTAGGTCGGCTTCCTCCTGGGGACTTCTCATCCTGTTGGTTGCGTGTAACGTGCTGAACTCAATGCGCTGCCCTTGCCAAGGGGTAGGCAGCTGCACTCCTGAGCAGATGTCAGCATGTTTGCAGGGAATCTGTCTCAGCTGTTAGAGAACTTGTTGAACCAACTCTGGTGTGTTATTTCTTGGCTGCCTTTTCAAAGAACAACTTTTTTTGTATCAGCTCTGTGAGCAGGGCTAATGAAGGGAAAGAAGTGTCCCAAGGTACCCTGGCTTTGTCTTAGACATTGTACATCTCTTACTGGTGTCCATGAAATCCAGAGCAATGAACAAGGAGAGCCAACAGTTGTGCTGATTTCCTGACTCTCGACAGCATCTTGCCCTGAGCTGTGAGTGCAGGTGCGAGGGCCAGCTGGGGAAGGGTATTTTAGCCCAGCTCCGTTCCCAGAGAGAAGTGTGTGTCTAACAGCTGTCCTCACATTGATCACGGGCTGAACAACTCCCCTGGAGAGAGATGGGATGTTGCTGTAAGAAAGGAGGTGTTTGGGGGATTGGTTTGCCCTTACAGCTG